ATTATTGAATGTTATAATATTCGCATTTTATAATTTTAAACCCATAAAATTGGAGTTAGTTTCGATTTTTGAAACAGGCATGTGTTTGGTCTAATTCGTCCAGATTATAATACAAGTGATATGGTATTAATTATGTATTATTACTAGTGGTATCAACGCAAGTTTTATTCTTCTAATGACCTTAATCCAAGAGAAAGATTAGTACCGCGCAAGCAGAAAAATACAAATATCTGCATTTCTTGAAATTCTACGCTAACCAGTTTACCTACCATGTAATTGGTACGAACAAGAGTACGTACAGTGAAAATCAAAGTAGGTAATGGATATGTGCTAACGCAGCGCCAACTTCCTGGATAAAATTACACGTATTCTTACTTAGGAACTGTCATTTCCCGTTTGGAAAAAGTAGGTGAATAGATTGTAACTAAATTTAGGAGCACTTACACATATGTTACTATCAATTTAACACCTCATTTGACAAAATATATAATTTATAAGCCATATGTTTCGAATGGTTAAAATATAGATAGCAAAAAGTTCATCATGATACTTGTAGAGAGCCTTAAATGATTTATTTTCTGCGCGGTGGCAATTAAATTTCGGTAAAATTAAAACAATAAGATCAACATTACATTAAAATAAAACATTTCGTTTTGCCCGTCGGTGATTTTTCATGACATTTCATTCAACCAATCGTCGATGGAATTATAACAAGATGGGATAACTGCACTACTGCAAAAGCAACAATTCAAACTTTGAAAGAATTTAATGATAATCGACTGATTAGACAACAATTATGACCAGCCAGGTAGCCAGATCTAACTCATTTAGGTTATTTTTGTTTGGATATCTGAAAACTACTATTTTTAAAACGGCAATTATTCGAGAAGTTAACAATATAGTAGAACGACGACAGCTGCAAAATGTGTATGAAAATATGAATAGGAAAATAAATTTTGCATTGAAGGACATCATTTTAAACATAATATGTAATGATTCTATTACGAAAATAGCTTATGAGTTTGAATTTATTTTATAATGCATCGAAGTAATGTTATTTATTAAAGCAATGAATTGTAAATTAATATAACTTTGTTAAACTATTTTATCTATAAGAAAAAATAAGCTATCTCTATTTATTTTATTCTGTAATAAATTAAACAAATAAAATAAATTGTTATGGGGTTCATTTTGTTTTTATAGTAAACACTTTTTGTTCATTAACGAGTGAAGTTTGATAGTTTTCTCCTATTAAAAAATGGTAACAAATATTTAAACGAAAAAAACAGAATATTTTTCGTACTTAATTGCATGTATTAAGTCTAACATCAACATGAGAGGCAAAAGGGTAACTTTAAACAAAACACTATTTACATTAATTGCTATTATGACGCAACTCATCAAAATGTCTTAAAGAGAAAAGGCCTGCTATGCAATTTTTAATCAGGTTACGGTAGGTAAGCGCAGTAATAAACATAAATTACCTTTGAATGGGATCGTAAACGTAATAGTATCGCTGGCAAAACACTAAACAAATTAGTGTAATGATTTATTTTAGATATTATATTTCGTAACTTAAGTATAAGTAAGCTGTAAGAATTATTTCGCCTTAAAGAAACCTACCAAAGCCAGATGAACTTAAGGGGATTACTTTAGACCTGGGGTCGGCAAGTAATTTTAGGTGGGGTCCGGATACTTTTAAAAATTTTTAACGAGGTCCAGAAAAAAAATTCATATTTCTTACAAATTTTCATTTGAACTCAAATTTAATCTGCTTACTAACCATTAAGAACTCAAAACACTCACACAATTGTAAAATACTAGAAAAAATGATAAGGTTGGCACTTAAACGTAAAAAACATTTTTTAAATAATTTATTTGAGTAATTTATACTTTCAAAAAATTTTTGGCGGTCCAGTATTTTACCTTCCGCGGTCCGGACCTGGACCGCGGTCCGCCAGTTGCCGACCCTTGCTTTAGACTAATGAAGAGACATTTGTTTGACAGCTTGTCCACATAAATTAAGACCAATTGATTATTTGGCAACAGCTAAAGTCCAGGAATACAGGGTGTCTCACTGTGACTACCCATTAGAATTATTTCAGACTACTTCGATTTGAATTTTGAAAATTTCGGATACCGGATTTTTGGGGCATGCCCTTCTCAACTAAAATAATGGCGTTCACGTACCACTTCCGATTATACTGGAAGTCGCCATCAACTTGCTTATTTTAAATGGAACACCCAATATATTATAACAATTTTGGATTATACGTGTTATTTTAGGTAGACTTTTATGAAGTTTCCCTATTCCTAAAATTAACCGTTTTCGAGATATTTAATTTTTTTCAAAAAAATGGAAACAGTTACTAGCTTCAAACCATGTGTATTTTATAGTATATAATCACCTAAAATCATGTAATTTCTTGCGAGGACATCTGTGGAATTTTTAGCAAAACTTCAAAACAAACAAACTAAATTGTCACCAGTTATTTATTATTATTTATTCACAGACGTTGCAATGAGATCCTAAACGGAACATTTACAGTTTTTAATGAGACATACCCAATTTTCCACCAATGAGCAGAATAAAGTTAAGAAGAATTCTAAAAAATCAACTTCATACATAGTAATACACAATTTTAATTATGTATGTTGATAATATAATGTACTACGATAAAAAAATGACTTAAAAAAGTCATAAATGTTCAATATGGCCCCCATTAACAGCTAAGCACTTGTGGATTCTAGAGATAACACCATCAGTCACCACATTTGCTATTTCAGCTGCGGGCAATTCATGGAACGCTCTTCGTATTCGAGCAATCAAATCCTCTTTTGAAGCAACGGGTGTAGAATAAACTTTTTGCTTTATTACTCCCCAAACAAAAATCTAATGGAGTGAGGTCGGGAGACCTCACTGACCAATTCCACGGTCCTAGGCGTCTCATTCATCTACCTTCAAACATTTTAGTGAGCTGTTGATCGATTTGATTGTGACAGTGAGGTGGAGCCCCGTCTAATAGAAACCAACACTTCCTTAGTTGTTCTAAAGGTAGATCATCTAGAAAATCTGCCACAACCATTTGCAAAATATTGAGATATCTGTCGGCATTTAAATTTTCTTCGTAGATATGGTAAGAAATTTGGTTATCTTTAATTAGACAAAAAACATTTACGCTAAATTTATTTTGAGTTTCTTTCCCGGATAACATGAGGATTTTCAGATGACCACAAATGAGTATTATGTCTATTAAAAATACCTTCTCTCGTAAATTTTGACTCGTCTGTCCATATAATATGTTGCAAAAATTGTGGATCTTCTTGGTATCGCACTAACATCGTTTCACAAAATTGTACACGTTGCACGGCGTCACCCGGATGAAG